TCTGTACTATGAAGCCGTGGTAGTAGTACTTTGACAGTTCGAACCGCGTACTATGTAAGTAGCGGCGCCACGCGGATGCCGCAAGAATCAGCAACGTGCTACGTTTGCACGAGTTTCCTCCTATTTCGGTAAGAGAACCTTGCAAATGAGCAGTGATCCGTTTTTTGAATGTTTGTGACTTAAAATTTATAGAATTTTATACGTTTGGATGTTTTTATGGTAAGTATTAATTAAAAATTAATTTGTAATTGTTAATCATTTCCTACATTTAAAATTTTTTTTAAATGCAATTTATATTTTTATATTTTCAAAATTTAATAATTTAAATTAATATAAATTAAATTTAATAATTTTAATACTTTTGTAGACCATAATATTTTAATAAATATAGTCGTAATGGAGAAAAAAATATATATATAATAATAATATATAATAAATATGTAATAATAATATATATAATATATAATAATTATAAATATATATATATATATATATTTATAATAAATATATATTATTATAATAATAATAAATATATATATATTTATAATTATTATATATTATATATATTATTATTACATATTTCTATATATTATAATTATATATATATATTTTTCTCCATTACGACTATATTTATTAAAATATTATGGTCTACAAAAGTATTAAAATTATTAAATTTAATTTATATTAATTTAAATTATTAAATTTTGAAAATATAAAAATATAAATTGCATTTAAAAAAAATTTTAAATGTAGGAAATGATTAACAATTACAAATTAATTTTTAATTAATACTTACCATAAAAACATCCAAACGTATAAAATTCTATAAATTTTAAGTCACAAACATTCAAAAAACGGATCACTGCTCATTTGCAAGGTTCTCTTACCGAAATAGGAGGAAACTCGTGCAAACGTAGCACGTACAGAGATTGCTCACGCAGATCCGGTATGAATTCATGCTCGACGGGTAAGTGAAGCGCCAATGCGATAAACTCACAAACTACTACCGTGCTATTAAGCCCCGTTTTTTCTCTCCGTGTGTAATTTAAATTAATACCTGTTGTGTATTGTGATTGTAAAAAATTTTGAACTTAAAATGGTTAAGATAAATTAAAACAATTTATTTAAACACAATAGTTTTGATACAATTCTTGTCTACTTAAAATTACTGCTTATTACTTCTTATCATTTTGAGCGATTTTTAGTGAATGAATACTCTCTTAAGGGTTCCTATCTACCTTCCTCATTACCTGGGCCTTCTAATATGGTGGGAGTGCAACTACACCTTCTCTAACAGTTAGAGGATGGTTCGAATGACCACCTTTAGACACAATAAGCTAGACCCTAGGTATGTTTTCAGCAATTTAGAAGTGTTTGGTTTTGAAATTCTATATTTGCACATTTTTAATGGTGTTATGTCCAGAACACAAATAAAGACATAAAGTAACTTGCTGCTAAAATCTTGAATAGGTACAGACAATTTTTATTAAATGTTTATTCTCCAGTAATATAATTTTTGGGTTTTTTCCTTTCAAACACATTGATGATTCTATTCTATCACTAATCCCTTAAGTGATGTTATAAAAAGTAATTATAGTATTTAAGATTTTACTTTAAATAGAAATACATTTTTTTATTGTTACGCTATATTTTTTTGTAAATTAAATAAAAAAAATTAGGCAAGTTCGAGTTATACTCGCACTAAATTCTAAGATTCCGTATACCAATCAAATTTCATCAACAATTTTAATTTTTTTTAATTAAAAGAAATTTAAAAAGATAATTTATTTATCTATTTTATATTTTAAAACTTAAAGAAAAAAATATAAATACTGTAAAAGGACAATCATGTCATCAAAATTTATTAACAAGGAACACTGGGTAGGTGTCCCCCTTCGATTTCGTTCATCTTGATATATGTTGTAGTTCTCGAAAAACTAATTAACACGTATATTTTTTTATCGGCAATGGTGAAAATTTAAGGGGTGAAAAACAACCCGTAAAGTTTTTACGGAAATTTAGAATTTTCATAATAAAAAGAAAAATTCAATAAAAAAATTTTTTTTGATCAATAATAATTTAGCACGAAAAAAAGGAATAAAAAAGTAGCATTTTTACCAACAACCCTGATGAATTTAGGGGTAAACACCCCAAAACTGAAATTTTCGTTCAAAATTATATAATTCCTCGCTTTATATTTTATATTTCTAAGCACAAAAATAAGATATAAGAGTTATAAAATATTAACAAATGTAAAAAACATTTGTCCAGGGGGTAGATAGGGGTAAACAACCCCTTAAAGTATATTATTTCAAGTAAAAGACATTAACAGGAAAAAATTTATTTCTTTTGCACAAATCATCTATATAATAAGAGGGATACTTTCTTTTCATTTTGAAAATATTTACAAGATTGGAATTTTGTTTTCCGGGAGTAACTACCCCTAAAAATTATTTTTCCATTCAATTAATACTGTTTCACAATTTTAACTGCATTTTTATTTGCAAATTAAGAACGTTTGGGTCCTGAAAAATCATCGCAATAATCTTCATATTTTGTTCGTAGGGTGGATTGGGGTAAACAACCCTTTAAACACATTATTTTAAATAAAGGACTATATCAGAAAAAAAATTTATTTCTTCTGCAAAATTCATCAACAATATAAGAGAGATACTTTCTTTTCATTATGAAAATATTTTTAAATCTTGAACTTTATTTATAGGGGGTAACTACCCCTAAAAAATATAAAAAAAATTTAAATGAAAAGAAAGTATCCCTCTTATTTTGTTGCCGTTTTTTGCAAAAGAAATAAATTTTTTTCTGATAAAGTTTTTTATTTGGAACAATATGTTTTTAGGGGTTGTTTACCTCAATCCACCTTAAGAACAAAATATGAAGATAATTCCGATGATTTTTCAGGACCCAAATATTCCTAATTTGCATATAAAAATGCAGTTAAAATCGTGAAACAGTATTATTTTAATGGAAAAATAATTTTTATGGGTAGTTACCCCCGGAAAATAAAATTCCAGTCTTGTTAATATTTTCAAAATGAAAAGAAAGTATTCCTCTTATTATATAGATGATTTGTGCAAAAGAAATAAATTTTTTCAGTTAATGTCTTTTACTTGAAATAATATACTTTAGGGAGTTTTTTTACCCCTATCTACCCCCTGGACAAATGTTTTTTTACATTTGTTAATATTTTACAACTCTTATATCTTATTTTTGTGCTTAGAAAAATAAAATATAAAGCGAGGAATTATATAATTTTGAACGAAAAGTTCATTTTTGGGGTGTTTACCCCTAAATTCATGAGGGTTGTTGGTGAAAATGCTATTTTTTTATTCCATTTTTCGTGCTAAATTATTATTGAGCATAAAAAAAATTTTTTATTCAATTTTTCTTTTTATTATGAAAATTCTATATTTCCGTAAAAACTTTAGAGGTGGTTTTCACCCTTTAAATTTTCACCATTGCCGATAAAAAAATATACGTGTTAATTAGTTTTTCGAGTACCACAACATATATGAAGATGAACGAAATCGGAAGGGGACACCTACCTAGTGTTCCTTTTAAGTGTATTTGATTTGGGTTAATTTTTTTAAAAAGTGAGTAAAAACTACTTTTGTTGGAAACGTAATTAAATTGAAAATGATAAATGGGTAGTCCTCTAAAAATTTTTTTTTATTTGAAGAAATTCTAATTTTGATTAGTATACGGAATACTAGAATTCAGTGCAAGCGTAAATCGGACTTACCAAAATTTTTTTAAATATAACACAGGACGGCAAATTTTTTCCGACTCAGTAAACCTGTTTAGTCCGGTTTATTAAGTCGAAAAAAAATTGGTGGTCCTGTGTAATTTTCACGAATCTGAAATTTTAGAGAGTAAGACACTCTAGAAGCACTACTAATTGTCTAAATTGTACGATTAAATTGTAAACGTATAATAGAAGGGAAGGATTACACAGCCCTACAAAAAAAGTAGCGGGGATCAGAGTACCCTACCCCTTGAAACGTATTACTCGGGGGTTTTCGAGGTCGTTGATTACGAATCTGAAGTTAGATTTTCAAAATTCAAAAAGGCCGATCCAATATGGCGATTAAATATTTTGAAAATTGGTGATTTTTTAAGAAATTTTCTTTAAGATTGGTATATTTTCATGAAACTTTATTCTTGTGGTTTCATACTCTACATTCGCCAAATCACCAACCAATGTATAGCTGTGGTCATTGGATGACGACGCCTTTTGGCCCACTTTCTCACTCTCTTTCTTTCTCTCACCACGTGGAGGTGTCCTGGACGCAGATACAAATAAAAAGTTATTTCACTACTATGGACTAAACTTCTATTCGTAGTAGATAGCTCTTCTTAAATAGCACGTTGCATACATTATATTTACCTATAACTAACAAATTTCATGAAAATATACCAATGTTTAAGTAAATTTCTTAAAAAACCACCAATTTTCAAACAATTTAAGCGTCATATTGGATCTTTTATTTTGAAAATCTGACTTCAGATTCGTAATCAGCGACCTCGAAAACCTCCGAGTAATAAGTTTCAAGCAAATTCAATAAATTTTTAAAAATTCGTCCGCTATATTGGATCCGCCGTTTTGAATTTTAAAAATATGACTTCAGAATCGTAATCAGCGACCTCAAAAACCTCTAGATACCAAGTTTCATATAAATCTAACAATTTAAAAAAAAAATTATAGCACCGAAAATTTGACGTTTTTTGAGATTAGGAAGATATTTAGACCCTTAAGACCTAAATGTACATGGGGGTAGGGTACTCTTATCCCCAAACCCTGACACTTTTTTGTGGGGCTGTGTTATTTAATGTACAGAAATATTGAAGTAAGAAAGCAGATTACTTAATGATGATTTGCAAACAAAATACCGCGATTAAGCCCACCTTAAATAATTTTATGATTAATTGATTTGGTAGACATTACTTTATTTTTCTGCAAAATATAATTATGTGAAATTTACCTTAAGTGGATACAAGAAAGTATCGACTGAAACTTCAAAGTCTCCAGATTTAGCAACACATAAAAATCTTCCCATATCTTCCCATGTTATACTTTCAATCAACAGATCACCATTTTCTAAAACACTATATCGGGAATCAATATTAGAATTAATTCGCTTCTCATAATTATCCAACCAGTATGTTTGAGGTCGAGGATTACCACTGGCTCTACATGGAATGATGACCGTCGACTCGAGATTAGAGATTACCATGCTTGCGTGCAAAGTAATTGTTGGTTTACTAGATTCCCGACAAGTGCCTTTCAGATTTCCTAAATCAGAAACAAAATTAGAGAAATTCTTAAATAATGAGTTAATAATTGAGAGTTCGAAAAGCATATCCGACGCAGCACTAGGGCGTACGTACTGTTTGTAGTCGGGTAGTAATGAGCGAAACTGAGCCGCCCACTGCTAGCTGATTATTACCAACAGTGCGTGCGTGTAAATGCAGCGTCGCATAGTTAGGCAATTATTTTTGATGTATTTTTATGTCATTACTCCTATTTAATTCTATGATCATTTATAGAATTTATTATTCAATATACTTTAACCCATGAGAAGTACATTACACTGGGGGACCAAAAACGGTGATGTCGTACTTATTTAAAATTTCTTGTGTTTATTGATAGTTTGGTTCTTATTGAACCAGAATATACAAAAAAAATTCATTCGGTCATTTCCATAAAAAATAAGATTAAAGCGTCAAAAAATCCCTTTTTCAGAACTTTTTGAAGCACTGTAATATGAAAACGCAACATGATAAAAATCTCTACAAAGGCTTAAATGAAAGCTTAAACCTTCAACTTGTAATTCCAAAAACTAAAAAATGAATAACAATTGCAATGAGACTTATTTATCATGTAATTGCTATCTCAAACAGTACAAATAGCTGGGTTAGAAAGCACTTAACAAAAATCGATTTTCATAACCGGATTTATTTAAAACTTATTACGCATGAGTTAGCTGTAGCCAAGGTCAGATGAGTAAATATTAATTCAGATAAGTCAGTTGTTGTTTAATTTTTGTTGTCCATTTTTAATCTATAGTGTTGAATCTGAAAAATATTTATATCGTAATGCGTGACATAAGATTTTTCTTAATTATTTTTAAGTCGTAGACATGATATTTCCCAAGTTTCTTGCCATACGTATCGCCAATAACGACTACCACCGAAGACATTTTGTTGTATGATTTTGGCCGGACTTTTACCCACATAGCACCAAAGATTTAATAAGTATTTATTATATATTTATTTTCTATGTTCGCAGTATTTAGAATATACTTAAGGTTACTTTAAAGGTTAAGTAAAGCTTCTGTAAATATTTAAATGTCCGCACTTGAGCAAATGTTTAGCGCGAACCTTGAGTGAAGCTTGAAATTAAATATTCGTTAAGCTTTTATTAATAATAATAATAATATAATTAAAATAACTATATCTCACTTGTAGCTTAAGAGCAAGATTTTTTTTCCAATCATAGTTGCTCGTATAGCTCGGTTGGTTAAGTATTGCGTTTGCGTTCGTCGAACCCGTGTTCGATCCCCGGTCCCCCAAATTTATTTTCAAAATTAATTTCGTTATTTAAAGTCTCTAAAAAATTGATTAATCAAGTATGAGTCCCTAAATTTAAGAAATTATTTTTTTTTCATTTTTGAAAACTAAAATTTCTTAACCCATTAACGCCCAAAAACTGAAAATTCTTTGTACACATTCAGGCTACGTTATTTTAAGTAAATCGGTCAACATTTTCTACGAGAGGTACATTTCCTATAGGTCTTGAGTGTGCTCTTTCCGATTCCGGTGTCAAAAATTAATTTCGTCTGAGCTTAAATTAAATATGGCGGTTTAAATGTCAAAAAACACAAAAAAAGTTTCATTTTTTTCAGTTTGACATTTTTTTTCAATCGGAAAAAATATAAGAATAAAATTAAATTATCAACCATAGGTGCATAAAAGTTGTGTGCTTTCGAGAAACGTAAAGTAGAATAAAAAATTTCAAGATGGCGGACTAAATATGGCGTCAAATTCATTGTAAAATGTGAAAATTTTGTGCAATATTGGTCAAATTGACAAAATGTAACTGGATTTGCCTGAATTTTGTTACTCGGGGGGTTTTGGGGTCGCTGATTAAGAATCTGAAGTCGGTTTTCAAAAATGCAAAATGGCCGATCCAATATGGCGGATGAAATTTTAAAAATGCATTCAATTGGTTTGAATTTCCATACTCGGAGGTTTTCGGGGTTGCAGATTACGAATTTGAACTTCATTTTTAAAAATTCAAAATGGCGAATTCAATATGGCGGATGAAAATTTTAAAAATGCATTCATTTGGTCTGAATTTTCATACTCGGGGGTTTTCCGGGTTGCTGATTACGAATTTGATCTTCATTTTTAAAAATTCAAAATGGCGGATCCAATATGGCGGATAAAAATTTTAAAAATGTATTTATTTTGTCTAAATTTTCATACTCGGGGGTTTTCCGGGTTGCTGATTACGAATTCGAACTTCATTTTTAAAAATTAAAAATGGCGGATCCAATATGGTGGATTTTGAAAAAAATCCATCGTATTTACATGAAATCAGTTTCTCGGGGGTTTTTGGGGTTGCTGATTAAGAATCTGAAGTCGGGTTTGTAAACTACAAAATGGCGGATCCATAACCACTATCTCCATAAAATCCAATGTTTGCGCATGCGCACAGAAAAAGTTGATGAATTCGTCGAAAAAGTTTAAAAATTTACTAACTTCGTGCCCATCCAGAAGATAATATCTAGTTCATGAAAGTTTTACTAACTATTTCTTTCTGTGTGTATGTCACTAGAAATATTCAGACATTTGAATAAATAAATTTTTAATTCAGTATTAATAATTAAATCTAAAATAAACAAATTATATTTAAAAAAATAAAAAAAAAATAACATTCTTAATTTTGTCTACCTCCACGTGGTAAGAATTGGTAAACGCCTAAATGGGCTGCTAAAAAAAACTGAAAACCCCTTCAGGCTATTTGAACGGATTTTTACATTTTTCATTTGTCATATTAGATTTTATGGAGATAGTGGTTATGGATCCGCCATTTTGTATTTTACAAACCCGACTTCAGATTCTTAATCAGCAACCCCAAAAACCCCCGAGAAACTGATTTCATGTAAATACGATGGATTTTTTTCAAAATCCGCCCTATTGGATCCGCCATTTAGATTTTTTTAAAATGAAGTTCAAATTCGTAATCAGCAACCCCGAAAACCTCCGAGTATGAAAATTCAAACCAATTGAATGCATTTTTAAAATTTCATCCGCCATATTGGATCGGCCATTTTGCATTTTTGAAAACCGACTTCAGATTCTTAATCAGCGACCCCAAAACCCCCCGAGTAACAAAATTCAGGCAAATCCAGTTACATTTTGTCAATTTGACCAATATTGCACAAAATTTTCACATTTTACAATGAATTTGACGCCATATTTAGTCCGCCATCTTGAAATTTTTTATTCTACTTTACGTTTCTCGAAAGCACACAACTTTTATGCACCTATGGTTGATAATTTAATTTTATTCTTATATTTTTTCCGATTGAAAAAAAATGTCAAACTGAAAAAAATGAAACTTTTTTTGTGTTTTTTGACATTTAAACCGCCATATTTAATTTAGGCTCAGACGAAATTAATTTTTGACACCGGAATCGGAAAGAGCACACTCAAGACCTATAGGAAATGTACCTCTCGTAGAAAATGTTGACCGATTTACTTAAAATAACGTAGCCTGAATGTGTACAAAGAATTTTCAGTTTTTGGGCGTTAATGGGTTAAATCAATTTATTCATTAAACTGATTCAAATTAAAGATATAGTTATTTTAATTATATTATTATTATTAATACAATTAATACTTTATGATTAGATAATTTTAAAATCCAGCTATCTGGGGGAACATTTAACGAATATTTTTTTCAAGTTTCAATCAAGGTTCGAGCTGAACCTTTAACGAATATTTAATTTCAAGCTTCACTCAAGGTTTGCGCTAAACATTTGCTAAAGTGCGAACATTTAAATATTTACAGAAGCTTTACTTAACCTTTAAAGTAACCTTAAGTATATTCTAAATACTGAGAACATTGAAAATAAATATTTAATAAATATTTATTAAATCTTCGGTGCTATGTGGGTATATATCGGGGCTAATTTATTATTGAAACTCTCTATTTTAGTATGAAGTGCATCAGCATGTTTTAGGCGTTCGAGCGAGTTATAAGCAGTATCTTCGGCAGCAATGCCTTCGATTTTTAAGTCTGATAATTTTTGGCCACTACGTCTCAATTCACGTGTATGATTTATGTACGTGGGGAAACGACTACAAAAGAGTGAACTGTGTTATTGTACGCAAATTTTATTTTTAATAAAATGTCATATTCGCGCTGATCATCTATGAAAAGACTAGCGATCATAGATTTGAAGTTATTATTCACGCGTTGTACGAGATAAAGGAGTATAAAGGAGTGGTGCTTTGATCCGAACCGAATTTACGCATAAAATTTGTTATGTTACTGTAAACAAATTCTGTACCATTATCTATTAGAAAAACCTTGAGGTTTCCCATCGATTAACGAGTGTGTACAATGATCTCACGATGTTATTATAAAAATTATGGAAATAAGAATAAACAATCTATTGCTTTTATTTATATTCAAGATAACTAACTACATTGTGATCTGTTTATGTATATATCAAATTTCGAACTTACACTGAGAAAAAAGCACTATTGATTCAATAGTGCCGATGCTATTGAAATCAATTTTTTTGAAACAATAACATATTTTTCGAATCAAATTAAAATATATTGAAATAGAACAATTCATGATTTTAAACTAAAAGCTTAATGTTTTCTATAGAAACATTTTAAGTAGTTGTGATGAACGTAGAATTTATATTATCAAAGAAACACTATTTGATTTCAATTAAGTGTACTCATTAATTAATTAAAAAAAGTTGTTATATTTAAAAATATTGTTTTTAATTTGTAAAAAAGTATATTTGAAACAACACAAATTGCTTTCGATTCAATAGCACATGCTGTTGTTATAATAAACGGCATATTCACATACGTTCAAATGCAGATGCTATAAAATTGACAGTATACGTAGTTGAATCATAGAACAATTTATTCAAAAATTAGAAATTTTTGTACTAAATGCATTCTTTAAACAGAAATCACATTCCTACGATTTATTTTAATATAAACTAGATTTTTTGAAAATTAATTTTCGTTAATTTATTA